CCGTGGTGCTGCTGGTGCTCTTGCCCTTCCTTCGAAGCAGTTGCTTAGACGGGGCCTGAGGCCCAAGTTGCTGCCACCATGATCCCAACCAGGCTCGGCGACAGCCCGATGCCCGGAGCCCGACCTAGGCGCACGAAAGCCAGGAAGCGCCGAGGCTTACGTTACCCTAAACCCCCTGAGCCCTAAACTCCTAAACCTTCCACCCCAACTCATCTTAAATCCCTGGCGCCGGAATCTGTAACACTATGCTTTCTGCTTTTGCAGCGCTTTGGCCAGATCGGTCCAAGCAATCGAGGAAGGAACGCTTGGCTTGAATATGCTGTCGATGTCGCCCTGAGCTAAGTACTTGTTAAACTCATGCTCGGGGCCACCGGGTGAAATCCAAACTGAGGCTGCCGCAAAGTCTTCAAGATTCTTCAGGAGAGAAAAACGACATGCTGATGGTTGCTGCAGATGCGGAGGCAAGTCGAGATCTGACAACAGAATATCTGGGGCGACTACGTAGAGAAGCGGAGACGATGCTTGCCGTTTGCACCAAGAATTACAGTGAGTGGACAGCGTTTGCATACTCCTCGCACAAAGAGCTGATTTTGCCTTGGATTGTGAGAGGTATGTCACTGTACTGCCACTGCGATTGGAGAAGGCTTTCCCCCAAGACCAAACGTGCAAAACAAAAAGGACAATCTTGAAAGAAAAGCTACAGAGTTTGGTGTGACATATCTCTTTTTACGGATGTCTTTCAAACATCTGGCCAAATTTCGGAGGCCAGCATGGGAGGCTTGAACTGGGCAACCCTAAAGTGGTTGGTGAGGTTGCACTCTGCTCAGTGCAAGGCCCTTGGATCTCAATATGCTCTATGAATCCGCGGAGGCCCTGCCAAGATTGGAACGAAGGAACCAGCGGGTCACGCAAGCTGTCTGCGCTTGGTGTTGTTTTTTTGGCGGTGGGCCTCTTTTAGTGTCAGCTAGATCATCCTTGCGCGTTCGGTGTGAAGAGCAAAAGGGCGACTGCGAGCACCTAACAGAAAATAACAAGGCAACCCCAAAACAACAAAAATCGCAACTCCCACAACACCGACGTGCCGAAGACCATGGCACAAGACGCTTCAAACACAATCGCTCGATGGACATTGTCGAAGTTCAGCAAAAATTGGGTTCCATGGAGGACGCGCAATTCAACTCCAGCATCTGCTGCGCGGGACAGGCTGGAAGCAAGATCGTCTTGCCGAGTTTTGTGGGTCCGTCCAGAACCAAAAAACGTAAAACAGATCCTGCTGGAATTGCGGAAGGAAGCCCTCTTTCACTGCTTCCAAATAGACCCTTGGACCTGGAGGGCGCGTGTGCAGCCTGGCGCTCCTGCTGCAGCTTGCTATCGAGGCCCAACAAGGCACAGAACAAGGCCCGACCCGGCTTGCCGCGAATCTCACCCCCACCCACCCATAGCGGCCGGCACAACCACGTCTATGACCCAGCGGGCATTGGGATGGCCTGATGTTCAAAAGCCAGCCTCCCAATCCTTCCAAACCTCCTTCCGAACCTGCAGGGCTTGAACGGGTGGCTTTAAAAAACCGAGAGCATGTCTGTTGCAAGCGCTTGCGGGGGCCTTACTGCATGAGGCTCGGGCCTGCGATGATCGCACGTATACGAAGCCCTCATTTCTTGAATGGCCCGCAAAGTCTCTGTTCCTGTCCGGCCTCTCGTTGATGCAAAGTCTCGTACTCCGCGGGCTCCTGGACCACAGACTCTTGTGCTTTGGGTTTGACAGTTTTTGTCATCCGTTTCTGGGAATCCAAGAGCACCCGGTCAAATTGAGTCAACTGGTATACTTTATCAAGATTCCATGCGCAGCAGTTGCTTGTGGAGCTAGACGCAAGGGGCAACAGCTGCAATTCTGCGCCGGCCCTCTTTTTGCTCTGGAGGGCCTGGACCTGTGTGGCTGTTGGCTTGCGGGTGCATAGGATCGCAATTTCACTGTTGACAAAGAGAGAGTGAGAGAGAGAGAGAGAGAGAGAAACCACGTCCTAGCCCGCAGCTGAGTTGTGCATGATTGAATGTGGTTATGCTCAAGCGCTGTCCTCACTGGCAAGCCTGTGAAGTTCATTATGATGTCCCATGGTCTTCCAAATGCCTTGAGTAAGGATGTTCTGGGATGTGTCATGAGGAGTGTGAAGACCTGGAGGGCCTGTCGAACCGCGTCGAAATCCTTTCAGCTTGCGGCTGCAGATGCTTTGGTGGAGTACTTGGAGAGGCATCTCCAGTTACAGGAGGAAAAGGGCCGTGCAAGTGTGAGTGCTGTGCACCGCTGGATAAGGATGCTGGCTGCTACGTCAGGAGGCGATGCTCGAGGTATTCGTTGCTTCTTGAAAGGTCTTCGTGACTGGAGGCTATGGATTCAAGTTGCATGTTTGCATGGCATGCCGAGAGTGGTTCGTCATGGAGATCCAATGGTTGAGGAGGCTCTTGTGGAGTACATCGTCAGGAAAGGTTCGAGGGCTGCCACACCAGAGGTGCAGTTCGTTGGTTCCACTACGACTCGCGAGGAATGCAAGTTCGAAGCATTGAAGTGCCTGGCAAAAGTCGGCAGTGCGAACAGCAGGTCCGTGATTGCAGTGATGCTGGACAACCTTCTTTTCACATACACGGAGGACACCGGGCGTGAACATTGGGAGGAGCGGCAGCACATGCCTGCCGTGGATGGTCTGGTTGAGCTGGGCAAGGTTGGGGACAGTGACTTGATAGACCGCCTGCTGGGCATGAGTCACGGTGCCGCAGTGTACCGGGCCTTGGCCAAGCTCACAAACAAGGGCAACGCCAAAGTCATACAGGCTCTGCTGAAGGTCATGCCGGGCTTTTTCAGCATTGAGGGCATCGACTACCATCAAGGGACCGTGGACGATGCCTACATGGCACTTCAGGAAATCTTGGAGCCATGTGACAAGCCTGTCCTCGGAGCGCTTGTCGGAATGATCTCAGATCCCAACATTTGCTCAGAGGCATTTGAAGCGGTGGACAGGGCCACCCGTGAAAACCATGTGCAAGGCATCAGATTTGATTATGATGAAAGTGGCCCGCAAGGCTTCTGACGCCACGCGCGTGGCTGGGCTTTATTTTGCCAAGCGAGTAAACCCTAAACCCTAAACCCTAAACCCTAAACCCCAAACCCCAAACCCTAAACCCTAAACTCAGGTTAAGACACCCATATGGAGGTCTTGAAGCGCCCGGCGGCAGCTGCAACGCTGAAGCGTCCGGCATCGAGGGCGACTAAGAGAGGTTCACAAAGCAGATCATCATTGGCCCCTGTGAAATCCCCACGTGAACGGAGGGAGTGCGTAGGAATTTTGTGCGTTTCAGCAGCTTGTGGAGGCATGTGCATGCTGGGACTTCCTTGTGATCATTCGTGTTTTGCCTGCTGTCCCTACATTTTCAGTCCATGATTTTGGATGAGTTTTGCAGGCACCCTGTTTGTCAAAGCCTGAATGATTGCAAGCTCTTTCCAGCAGGCTGTCAAGCCAAACACGAGCGTGATCACTCGAGGCGATCATGCCTTGAAAGTACAGATTCTGTAGCGACTGCCCAGCAAAGTGTGCAATACACTCAGCTAGGCCGCACCTTCTGTAGAGACTGCTTGGTGCAGCGAGAAAGATGCTACGCCTATCGTATGTAGCAACTGCTCGACACACCAGCCAGATGCGCGGTACGCGTCCAACACGCATGCGCTTGCCTGTTGTTTCTCATGACCTCTACCCTGATTCCCAAAAGTTCTAGTCGTCGAGACGCATGCCCCCTCACATCCCGTCGCGTTCGACAAATTAGACATCGCTGCGTGTGGGCTCACGTGGGGCATGGTCGAGATCGCACTCGTCCTTCGTAGTTTTGCTCATTTGGGGTTTAGGATTCCAAGCTTGAAGGGTTTGCGACATTGGGGGCACAACAATTTCCGCCAAAAGCCTTAGGGAGCAGGGCTCCACACTTATCTCGCGATCCTCAACTGTTTCAATTTCTTGCAACGAGAGCGGGGGTTCCCCTTGTTAACTTAGGACACTCTTCCCACCATGCAACCTACGTGGAAAAAAGCTGAGCGTGCCTTGCCATCTTTTTGTTTGATGAATCATGGCTAGGCTAGGCCAAGCATGTAAGCAAGCACTCTGGGGGTACACACTGAAGCCTTCAGCCCAAACGGCTTCCGGGCGCAAACCTAGAAAGCCTCAGTGTTGAAAGCTTGGCTTTTCATTTCAAGTGCTCGGGATCTCGTTTAGGCTTTAGGGTCTAGGGTTTAGGGTTTAGGGTTTAGGGTTTAGGGTTTAGGGATTCAATCCGGCTGAAATCCTAAGTTCCCTGATTTGTTAGGCCGTGATTGCTTCGCTGAGAGGTGCCTCGAGCCCCGGAAGCCCTGCAAACCCCATAAACACTCTTTAAGCCCATAGGCCCCCTTAGGAAAGTTTTATGTGTATTTATTTAAGAAGACCCAAAGGAATATTGAAAAGTAAGATTTTTGTTAAGGTTCTAAGGGGAGGATAAAGGCTCCTTAAACCCTCTGAGCCCGAAACTTGTTGCCGCGACCGCAACACCAGCCGCCTGCCATGCATGATAGCTTCCTCATTGTAGGGTTTAGGGTTTAGGGTTTAGGGTTTAGGGTTTAGGGTTTAGGGTTTAGGGTTTAGGGTTTCAGGTAGTTGCATGGGCCCTTAATATGGCCCCTTATCTTCCTCTAAAGGGTTCTGAAGTGTGGGTATACAAGGGGTACATGTAAGGGGTCCCCTTTTAAGGGCCCATACCAAGGGACCATGAAACGACCCTAAGAGTTACAGTACATGGTGGGTAGAGCCAAGGCATTAGGCTCCGATTCAAGTACCTCAGCATTGTCACTGGAGCAGCCAAGTTTTCAGTTAAAAAATCGGGCTTTTCCCGCGTAAATCAGCAGACCGCGAGCCAATGAGTCGCCTTTGCTGCCGCGGAGTTACCAGCGCAGATGATTCTGATGTGGAGCGGCTACTGCGAGACATGGCAAGCCGGCTCCCAAGCCCGTCAGCCCAGCGCAAGGGCTGCGAGCGGCTCGCCCAAGCGGCGCCCGAGCAGCTTGCGGGAGCAGCGCCCGCGGTGACGGCGGCCATGGAGGCCCACTGCCAAGATGCCGGTGTGCAGCAGGCCGGCTGCGACGCGCTGTGCGCCATCGCAGCCGGAGGATGGTTGGACAGCCTGCTGGCGGCCGGCTCCGTCGCCGCGATTCTGGCGGCCATGGCGGCCCACTGCGACAGCCCGGAAGTGCAGCAGGTGAGCTGCAAAGCAGTACAAGGACTCCTCGTGCACGAGGGGGACCTTCCGGCCCTGAAGACAGCGGCGCAGCAGTTGCAGGAGGGCGGCTTCATCCAAGAGGTGCTGAGAGCCATCCAGACTCACGCGGAGGACCAGCGCGTGCTCTGCAGTGGATCAGGTGCTTTGGCATATCTGTCTGACCATTATATCTTGGAAGTGTGGGAGTTGATGCATGAGTGCGACGGTGAAGGGGTCATACCCATCTTGGTGCGGCAGATGGCGGCATTGTCGGAGGAGCTAAAACCTGGATCGCCGGAGGTGGACATGGCATTTAGTTGCCTCGCCCTCTTTGCCAATGCGTCAGCTGGAAGTGAGGCGGCTCGGAAAGCCTTGGTGCAAGCAGGCGCGGTGCCGGGGGTCCTCCGCGCTCTTCAGTTCGGTATGCGCGATGAGGCCATCTGCAGCGTGGGTGTCATGCTTGTGTGGAACTTGGCAATTGGCTCGGCGGACATTAAGGCGGAGATTGTAAAGGAGAGAGGCATGATGGAAGCACTCGCCGGTGCTGCAAATGCAACCCGTGGTACTGACAGTCATCTTCAGTGCCTGGGCTTTGCGTCTCACGCCTTGGCGGCGCTTGTTGATGTGTCGGCAGAGCACAGGGCCAACCTCCTCAATTCAGACGCCATCTTGCTGGTCAGCCAGGTGCTTGTCGAGGACTCGCTGCCGAGAGAAGGCCGGCAGACGGCCGTGTACTTTCTCCGAAAGCTAGCGGAGCTGCCGGATGCCAGGGATCTCCTGCGTGGAGCAGGGGCGCCCGCGGCCCTCATCGAGGCAGGTGCCCGACACGATGAGCTCTTTGGGGATTGCAGTGTCTTACTTCGCCAATACATGAACTTTCTAAACTTTCTGGGTTTCCTTCTTCTGTAGGAATACTGAAGTTCAACCCTGTTTCTATTCCTTGGCTATTGGAGAAGTAAGGTGTAGCTTTGAGCTACTTCCCGCGTGCCGACCTGGACGATCTCTGTTCCCCCTCAGACGAGCAGCGCCATCTCTTGGCGGCGGCTGCCAGCCGCCGCTTTGGGCTTCTTGGCCTCCTGAAGGACCCTCGGTGGTGCCCGTTTGGGACGTGTTATCTTCTTTCCCCTTTTTGGATCCCGAAACCCGAAACCTGAACCCTAAACCCTAAACCCTAAACCTTAAACCCTTGTGCCCTAAACCCTAAGCCCGAAAAGGACTCTCTACTTAGGAATGCTTGTCAGAGGGCGCAACAAGGGCCATCCTAGGACATGGTGCTGCCCGTGGCAGATACGAGCCTCGATCTCCTCAACGCTTTGAGCTACGTGGTTGCCGCAAGAGACGCGCGCGAAAGGAGCATTTTCCCAAAAAGAATGGGGTACCCCTGTTATGCCCCAAAGGGAGTAGAATCCCCCTTAAAGGGATCCCCAAAAGGGGTACCCCCATTTTCCGAAACCCCCAACTAGGCTGCCCAGAAAATGAGGGAGCCTCTCTGTTTGTTCTTCTCCGCCAGGTATCCCTGTGGTATCCTCATTCTGGTATCCCTACTCTGGTATCCAGGATACCCTAAACCCTAAACCCTAAACCCTAAACCCTAAACCCTAAACCCTCAACCCTCAACCCTAAACCCCAAACCCTAAACCCTAAAACCTAGCGGCAACCCAAGGCTTCTGGGAGGCCGGCTCGATCATGTGGCTGGCGGCGCTCCTGTGCGGTATGAGCTTCAACGGCGTGGCCTCGGCTGCCCTGGCGTTGCAGCACGGCCGGCCCATCCTGGCCTTCTTGACTTTGGGCTGCTGCTTTTAGGGGTTTAGGGTTTAGGGTTTAGGGTTTAGGGTGTAGGGTTTAGGGTTTGCCTTCTTGACCCTGGGCTGCTGCTTTTAGGGTTTAGGGTTTGGGGGTTCAGGGTTTACTCTGGGTTGCTGCTTTTAGGGTTTAGGGTTTTGGGGTTCAGGGTTTAGGGTTCAGGGTTTAGGGTTTCGGGTTTAGGGTTGAGGGTTTCGGGTTTAGGGTTTCGGGTTCAGGGCTTAGGGTTTCGGGCTGAGGAACTTAAATCACATATCCGGATATTACGAAGTATTAGAGTATGGTTCCTTCTTATGGCAACTTGAGCTCGGATTGGTTTAGGGTTTCGGGTCTAGGGCTTAGGGTTTGGGTTGAGGAGCTTGAGTCAAATATCCGGATAGTACGAAGTATTATAATACGGTTCCTTCTTCAGGCAACTTGAACTCGATTTCTTGGCAGCAGCCCAGGAATTGCGTCACGCTGGGCACCGCCGGGCAGATCTTTGAGGCTGCGGAGGCTTGATTTTGTTGAGTTTCCCTAAATTAGGTTCCGTTATGGGGGCTTCTTTTGCAATACGGAGGCTTATAAGTAGGGTACCGGAAAAGGGCCACCAATTCAGAGAATCCGCAAATAGGTGTATAGTCCTGGTTTCAATGCGTTGTTCTGTATAGCAAGTTGCTTCCTTGGCTGAAACGGGCTATGCCTTCTGGCTGCTATGTGTTCAACGAGGTTTCTGCGCAGCTCTATCGTGTATAATGCATTTCATTTCTCCAGGAGGAGAACGGAACAGAACGCATAGCGCACGAATCGTGGTCAGGCAGGATACAGTGTTGCAGGTACGGGGCAGCAAAGTCCGGCAGGCCAGGTCCAAAGAGGTGTGCGCAGCAGAAGACAGCCTGATTGGACACGGAACGGGGGTAAACGGCTCAACCCTGTTAATCCCTATTGTTGGATTCATTGACAGTTTACGTGGGCAGGCTAGTAAGGCCCCCTTAAACTGGCGGGGGGGGACCTTGAGAAGTGTTTTTATTCCTCCGAGAGTCTCAGGAAAGCTTCAATGTTGGTGTCAAGTTGGAGCTGCTTCTGGGCCAGAAGATGATTGAGGGCTTTGAGTCCATGCTGAGCCTCCTGGTGTCTGGTGATGCAGTGGCTGTGGCGGGGCACCTTCCAGGTGTGCCCTCTCTGACCCCGACGTCTGCGGAGCTGAAATGGGCCAGTATCGCCAGCTCAATCGCGTGCCTCTCTCTCCTCGGCATGGACTTGGACAAGAAGGCCATCCAAGAACAAGAAGAGCTCGCCCACCTGCGCAGCTCGACGATGACAGACGTCCATCTGTTTGCCTTCCATGTGTCAGAAGTCACAGCTGCCATGGTGGTGATCCCTTATGCTTCGGCCACGCGGCCTTGGGGACTTCTGGCGTTGGCAGTTTTTACAGCACTCTCGGTGCTGCTGCTCAGCGTGCGAGCCCTCCGGGGCTATGACGGCGATTGGGATCTCGAAGGGGACAAGGTCCTGATCCGGGGAAAGCATATGTTTTTCATGGGCCAGGATTTGGGCATGTCAGTGATGGGTGAGGAAGCGGAAGTGACCACAGGCAAAGACACCTTCCCGGCAAGCCTCTTGCCTGCCAGGGACATCATGCGGTGGGGGTCAGTCAGGCTCATCTCAGAGGATGGCAGCCCTTTGCTATTGGAGGCCGGCAAGACATTGTGCCGGCAAGAGACGAAGCAACTGTACGAGGCTGGCTGGCGTGGCGACGGCGCCTGCGCGGGCCTCCTCCGCACATTTGTTGCCTGCTTGATCTATGCCCCGACCTGCTTCGCACTGAACATGCTGGCCTTTTTCCATGGGACCTTGATGCAAGAGTTGGCCCTCCTGCGCGTCGCCGTGTTCACCACCGCCTGGCTGGTCTTGCTCTGTCGTGGTGCCACCGGCCCCCCCGAGCTGCGGGAGGAGCTTGCTTCACCGCACACGGCGTGCCTCTCTGGGCTGGCCGCGCTGGGCTTCCTTCTGCACCTGGTGCTGCTCTGGCAGCAGTGGCGCTGCGGCCGCTTTGCCTTGACCTGGCAGCCATCAGGGATGTCTACAGAGGCGGCAGAGTACAAGTATCAGCCGTTGCTGGCGGTTTCACCTAGCGACATGTAGATACATGGACTCGCCCACGTCTCCCAAGTTCTCGGCATCTGGGCTGGTGTCCCACCAAGAGTTGAGGGCAAGCCAAATACATCCGGTCACCCGGCCAGAGCTGGATCAGCTTGTGGCCGTCGTCGGCATCACCGCGACGCCCTAACACGGGGATGTCGCAGAGCTTCTGGCCAATGCGCCCGTTCACCTGACGAGGGCGTACAAAGTCGGAGAAGGCGCACCCTAAGCCCTAAACCCCCTAAAGCCCCTGAACCGTAAAGAGACCTGCAGTGGCGATGTGTAAAGAGACAGGCTCGACAGGGCACTCCATTGTTTTCTCCTGAAGTTCGTCCTTCGCAAACACCCTATAAGGCGTATGGCAAAACAGATTGAGGGCGCCTTGAATCCTGACACCTGAAACCCCAAAGATGATTTGAAGCCATGAACCCTGAACCCCAAACCCCAAACCCTAAAACTAAACCGTACACCCCTAAACAGAATCCTCTTGGAGAATCTTCATCATCTTTCCCAATCCTCGGACCCTGCCGCGAGGACCCTAAACATTCAAGCCTTGAATCCTAAACACAACTCCCTGTAAGAACCAGAACCCTTGCAAACCTTAAACCCTAAACCCTTGGATGGCCAAAACACGAAGCCCTACATGATGAAAGCCCTAGATGCCTGAATCCCAGGCCCTGCTACTTAAACCCAATGCCATCCAGGTGGAGGGGTTGTGGGTTGAAAGGGTTTAGGGTTTAGGATTCAGGGTTCAGGGCTCAGCAGGATCACTCCTTAAACCTGTTCCGCTCCGCCAGCTTGGATCCTCCTCGTTTGAATCCTAATGCCTGAAACCCTAAAACCTGAAAATTACCCGAAACCATTTCCTTCCCCCACATGGACATATATATATATATATAATATTGCATATATATATATATCAACACTCTTATCCTGCCTTAGACCTAGAGTTTGGACCCATGGCGCTGGCCGCTTGGCGGCTGTTTCTCGCGCTGGGCAGCACTGCGCTGGCCAAGAGGCCCCACATCATCTTCCATGCCACTGGGTGTCAGGTCTAGGGCTTAGGGCTTAGGGTTTAGGGTTTAGGATTTATAGGGTTTAGGGTTTAGGGTTTAGGATTTGTAGGGTTCAGTGTTTAGGGTTTAGGGTTCAGGAAATACTCTAAATTGTTGATTCTGAATACTTCGTTTCCTGGGGGCTCAGATGCACCCACAGCACGTGTGACAAGACTTCTGTTGGTTTGTAGGAAGATGGGGGAATGACGTATCCTATAGACTCCCTTAAAGGGTTTACATAGGGCCCCATATAACCATTTAAATTTAAAGGGTACATATAGGGCCCTATATCATCCATTAAAGGGTAGACATAGGGCCCGAATTCCCTCACCAACAGTAAGGAGAGCCACCGTTCCGCAATCGCAACACCGCATGGGGCCACAAAGGCTCAAACCCTCCACCCCTGCACGCCTAGACCCCGAACTCCCTAAACCCCTAAGCCCTAAGCCCTAAGCCCTAAGCCCATCTAAGCCCTAAACCCTAAACCCTACACCCTAAACCCTAAACCCTAAACCCAAACCCTACACCCTAACCCCAAAGCCCGAACCAGCCCAGGTCATCGACGACTTCGGCTGGGACGACCCCGGATTTCGGAACGCGGATCAGATCAAGACGCCCACCTTGAACCTGCCACCCGTGACGAGTTTGGCAAGCCCGAAGCCCAAGAATCCTCGAACCCTGAGTGTTAAACCCCAGAGCCTTAAACTAAACCCTGGAACCCTAAACTGCCTAAACTTAGAATCTGGACCTAGAACCCAAAAACCCTAAACCCTAAACCCCAAACCCTAAAACCCTAAAACCCTAAGCCCAAAAACCCCAAACCCTAAAGCCCCCCTGAAACCCGAAAAGCTCTTGAAGTCCGAAAAGGTACTGAGCTCGAAACAAGTTAAAGTCCCATAAGGGCCGGTTGACGACTCTTCGGATTTTGGCTGGGCGGTTCTCTAAACTGGGGTTTAGGCTTAGGGTTTTGGATTTATGGCTTGGGGTTTGGGGTTTAGGGTTTAGGCTTTGGGGTTCCGGGTTCAGGGTTTAGGGTTTCGGGGCTCTTTAAGTTAGAGTTTCACCAAGTTACTGGTTTGGGTTCCGGGCATGTTTGTTTATGTTTCTCCATGCTTCAGTTTCTCTTCTAACACGGAGCCGAACATTTGGAGTGCCCTGAACAACTGCTATTTTAGGCAGGTGCCTAATGAGGCCGGTTGAAGTTTGAAGGTGATGGGGAGGATCTGGGTGGTTAAGAGTTTGGCACTCACGTCTTGTGTCGCCTAAACCCTAAGCCGTAAACCCGAAACCCTACCCAAACCCGAAATCCGAAGCCCTAAACCCTAAACCCTGTTGCTTGGACAGTGAGTTCTCAAGGGTGGAGGAGCGTCCGTAGCCCCGCCCAGGTTCCACGAGAAGGGGGTGACTTTGGATCAGTACTACGTGCTACCTTCTTGCTCACCCAGCCGGGTGCCTCTTCAAAGCATGTGCAACACTTCAGGGATCACCTTTTGCGCCAGCTAGGGTTGCAGGGTTGTAGCGTTTTGGGGTTGTAAAGTATAGGGAAGAAATGGTTGTAAAGTTTAGGGACTCGGCAACCCTAAACCATCCCAAACCCTAAGCCCTAAACCTAAACCTAAACCCTAAACTCTAACCCCAACATCCCCCCCCCTCCCCCGCCTCAAGCGTGCTTGGCCGTTGTTTTTTCGCCTGCCGACCCAAAAGGGCGTGACCTTTGGGTGCTCAACCCCTCCCCCCCTCTACCCCAACGGTCGCACGCTGGGCGTGCGCAGTGCCGGGGTCATCTTTTCTTTGGGGTGTGTTTCGGGCTTAGGGTCTAGGGTCTGGGGTTTTGCGCTTAAGGTCGTCTACGGCTTAGGGTTTCGGGTGTGGGGTTTAGGGTTGAGGGTTCGGGGTTTAGGGTGGTCCAGGGTCCTGCGAGGCAACCTTCATGACGGGGCGCATGCCCCTTCACACCGGCATCAACAACTGGCCGCTCGGTGGGCCAGATCTGCCCCCAAGCAGTTGCTTACTGTCGGTTAGTAGGGAATGAGGGAACGAGGTATCCTATATCCCCCTCAATATATATATATATATATATATATATGTATATCTGTTCCCCCTCATGTACTATCTATCTATATCTATATATATATATATTCATTATGTGTTTTCCCTTTAAGGGATTGCATAGGCCTCATTCCCTCATTCCCTACTAGCCAACAGTAAGGTTACACCCTGCGCTCGCAGTTCCCTCAAGCCCTAAAGCCGCAAGCCCTAAGACCTGAACCCTAAACCCTAAAACCCCAAAACCCTAAAACCCTAAAACC